TCATTTAACATCATAACCGCTTTACACTAGCCATAGAAAGTGATGTCACCATAAACTGTGCCAATAATTTTGACATTACATTTGAAAAGACAGCAATAAACTGTTTCCAGGCTTACGCAAGTGGTACAGTCACCACCAGCAACCAGGAAGCTTTCGTGGGGCGATTGCCAAAGGGGAGGCATTCAGGGAAGCCCCAGGGCACAGTCAGACCTTACACTCTCATGGTAGTTCTGGACGTAGAAGTGAGCTGGAGGTGTTGTCTGGTCTGCAGCTGGACTCACCGAAGGGCTTCAAGCAGGGAAGCGACAGATTTGCAAAGAAGATACGCCTGTCAGTCCATGGGCAGGGGAAATGGTCTCAGAGTTGCTGCTGGGGGTCTTGGGATTTTGTCCCTTGCCTTAGGTACTGGTTTGCCAACAGCTGTGTGCAGTTGCTCCCCGGAGCCTGGCAAAGTGGTGTGCAGTGTGTCCATGCTGGTGTCTGCAGGCGCGGTCGTGCATCCGCTTGTGGCCATCTAGTGGACACTCGGCGTGAGCGGCTGTGGGCTGGGACCGGCTTGTGCTCCATTAAGCTCGTTCCTTGAAAGATCCCGGTTGAAATGCTTTTTTCAAAGGCAGTACGAGAGATTTGGCAATGCAAAAATTTACCACTATCTACCCTGGAATTTTCCTTTAAGCGATAAGGAATGCTTGGGCAGGGAAAATATATTTTTTTATATATTAGGAAGGCAAGGAGTCCAATACCAGTTCTCCTGTCTGTGTACCCCAGCTTGGAAAGTAGTAGCCGAGAAAATGAGTGTAACCAGTGGAAAATTTTAGGTAGTAAAACACTACAGAAACAATACACAGTAGCACCCTAGATGCTTTAAAATATCCCTTTGCTAATTGAGCTCCTGGGTCATGGCCAACCTCAGGGAGATTTCTCTCTTTAGCAGACAAGGTTTCAGGCAGTGATTAGGTAAACAAACTAACTAATATGATGAATGTGGATAACAAGGACACATCGAGTCTCATGTCCCTTTGCAAAATGAGAGATTCCTCCTCCTACAATTTGCTCTTCTGCATCATCAGTAATCTGAAGAAGCATCAGTTGTCATTTGTGATTCAGACAAGGAAACTGGCAAGGTTATCTTTGCCAGTCTTGACTCCCAAACTCCAACTCCAAAACACTTACAACTCTGCAGTGGAGCACAGAGTGCCCCAGATTTTATTGCTTTGGGCAGTGAGCACTGGAGGTGAGAATTAGATGATGATAAAGGTTAGAAACATTCCCGTTTATAAGGTTTTACAATATCGCAAGACAAAGCTATCCACATTGTCCATTTTTTGCAGATAGGCTTCATGGAACAAGTTTCCCATGTTTCATAGAGGGTGGTTGTCTGAAAATGAAGAGATGTAAAACACCTTAAGGTGTAGCACATTGGTCCAAAAGACACCTCTGCACATTGGATTGTGATAGCTTTGCACAAGCAGTCTAAAATTAATCGGGGTTTCACCACTGCCGTGAGGTGTGGAAGCACAGTCTTTTCACCATAACCTGGGCTGTGCAACAGATATCTAGATGAAAGGAAGTGAGAAGGAAGGTGCATGACACACAGCCACATCAGTAATGCTTTTCACAAAGCTGAGCCAATCGCCAGGATGGGAAGGGGCAAGAGGAAATGTGGACAAACATTGCTTGAAGCAAACCAGAGGAAGTTGTAACATAGATATCTCCAAGCAAAGACAATGAACAGCCAAAGAAGACATGGAATACCAAAACCACAAGTAAATGTAAGGGTGAAACCCTCTCCAGGAAAAGTGAGGTGCCAATAATAAATAACAGCATATTTGGAAGTTGTGGCTGATGTACCAACAGAGATGAAAATAGCTATGAATTACTTAAACCAGTGTGTCATTCAGCTTAGAATCAAGGCACTGGAAAATTTTGGTATCACGTCAGGAAGTTTGAAGAAAGCAGTGAGGTCTTCTCCCAGAGGAAAGTCCCACTGATGAAGCCATTGAATGAGGACATGAATCATGACAACACATCACAGGGAACCATTCTGCTGATCTGAAATGGTATGGGAGCTGTCAGTGCCAGGAGTGTCAGGAGCTCTTCCCAACATGTTCCTTGGGATGGGCTTGTGGCAGTGATGCTGAGCTGGGATCTGATCCTAGCAATATTCAGTACTGAGCACCATTGGTTTCATTTGACTTGATGCCTGAGATGGAGATATGGCTCCTGGTATTAAAGCAAGTCAGTCCTCCTGATTTCTGTTCTGACAGACATTCTGGGATTTCAAACTTCCATTTTTCCTAGTCAAAACCAAGAAGAAATTCCCATCAAATGACAAAACTTGGTTTGAGATATCTTGGAATTATCTTACTGAGGTGTTGATGTAATTTTGATTTTCCCATTTGGCTTTAAAACATAGATTTTGCATGTCTTAGGCAGCTGAGATTAAAATACAACATTCAGAAGGAAGCCATAGATAATTCTGATTACACTTCCCCTGGCTGGACGCAGTTTTTCCTGTGCAATTGAATCAGCATTTTTTGATTGAAAATTTTTAGCAGCTCTAGTCAAAATTGGGCTGCCAACTGGCAAAGATTCTGCTGCCTTCAGTGTTTGTGTAACACTGCCATGGAAAAGGGGATGCTCTAGGGCAGCAGGTTTAGGAGCAGTGGGCAGTGCTGGGGCAGGATGAGACCTTGCCAGGGGAGAAGGGCAAGGGAGCATAAGACATCAGGAAGATGTTTGGGGCATCAAGGCAGGATAGAGTAGAAAAGGAAAGGTGTTAAAAGCACCAGTGAAGAGGCACTTGGATAAAATAGGATTGAGGAGAGTTTAAGAAGAGAGGAACTCTGCTGCAACAGATCTAATGGTACTGGTTTACCCAGGGCAGAACAGGCAGGATCCCTCTTCTGTCCCAGATGGGTCCAGCTGCTCTTCACAGCATGAAATTCTCAGGAGTGCTTGCCCCACTGCCAGCACCTGGTGGGTGACAAAGAACCACGGGAGTTTGGGCTGAGGTTGGAGTGGGAGCGAGCCAGTCCCCTCCAGCTCTGCACTCTGGGCTCTGGGAGTGAGAGGAATGCATGGCCTGGAGTGAGAGACCCTGCCAGCATCCTGCTGACTTCATGGCCAAGCAAACCCGTGTATCAAAGAGGCATGGAGAAGCGGGTGAGGAGGGAAAGCTGTGCACTCCTAGGGGTCTTTGCTCAGGCCCTGGAGGATTTGCAGCCATCCATGGTTCAGGGGTTACATATTGGCAATATGAAAGTGTAAATCAGACTGTTTATCATGCAGAGGAGGTGATGTGCAGTGAAGCAGCCTGGCTGTAAAATCCCCTCTGACATGCACGGAGTGTCTTCTGCTGGGAGAAGCTGGGATCACAGCCACTGGGACTACCACCCCACCCATCCCACAGAGCTTTTTGTGGGAGCAGGCTGTATGAGCTCTCAGGAACGGCCAAGGCTGGCTGTCACCAGTACTAGCAAGCCACCTGCCCACCCTGCAGCTCCCTCCCTGGCATAAGGCTTCAGTGCAGGGCAGTTCCCCTCTGCACGGGTGGAAGAGGCGAGCTTGCCTTGCCAGCTGAGAGCAGGGCATCACTCTGTGGTATCAGTCTTATGGCCCCCATGGCAGAGCTGGTGGACTGGGACAGACCCCCCTGTGCTCCCCACTGCAGCCTGAGCTCCTCCACGGCTATGGACGGTGGGGACAAGAGAGGGTTAAGCTGTCAGCTCTGTAATGTTAAACAGGTGTCAAAGGCACCTCCATATATCTGCAGATTGAAATCAAATTCTTTGCAGTATAAAAAGATAAATTACCCAGGCGATTCCCGCCTCATCCCACTCATCAGGCCAGCGCCAGACGGCAAGCAATTTTTTTTTTTAATGTGCTAACGACCTAATCAAGCAATCAAGTCGGAGAAGATTGCGGAGTGACCCCGAGCATCCATCTGCCAGCGAGACCCCACCATTCATTTCCATTCTGCCATGTACTTTCAGGGAAACGGAGGGAAAAAAATAGAAAAGGAAAAAAATCCTAAACAAATTAACACCCAATTTTCTGTGAGTCTAATTAGTTAAATGAGGAGGTGTTTGGGGTGTCCGCGGGGAGGGAGGGGCTGCCTCTCCGAGAGGGGCCTGGTAACTCCATGGCATTAATTAGCGCAGGTCAATGGCGTGGTTCCCTGGGGACCAGCTGCTTTAATTTCCCGTGATATTTCAGTGCCTCAGGCCCATCGATTCAAACTGAAATTAACTTATTTTTCAATCAGGCCTGGGCTGCCCCTGGGGCTGACTCTTCCTTTGCCTTCTTCTGAATAGACCTCAAGCAATTTTTCATCTAAGGCTGATGCCTCTGCTCGGCGGGAAGGGAGGGGAGCCGGGGAGGGAGGAGGGTGAGGGAGACAAGAGGAATGGAAATCGGAGAGAGAGCACTAATAGATTTCTGCGAGTATCACCCCCCTCCCTGCCGTTGCCTCCCGCCTCTCTGCTCACTGCCCCCCAGGTCACAGCTCAAAGATTATTCTGCCAATTTTCTGAGAAGATGAGGGGCTTTTCAAACTGGGAATTCAGGGCAAAGCGCACAGATCAGCTTCCCCCCTTCTCCCGCCTCCCGTGAGCATCCACCCCGAGCCAAGCCCTCCCTGCAGGCACCGCTGCCTGCAGCCCTGCGCCGCTGCTCAGACACCCAGTAAATAATAAAAGAAAATCCCACAACAGCCAAAAGCCAGTAGAAAAAGATGCTGCAATGGCAAATTAATTACATCCTGCAGAGAGGGATGGGACGTGCTCTCACACTTGGCCCTCACCACTCCTGCAAGGGAGGGAGGGAGAGAGAGACACCCGGTGTTTGCTGCATGGGGGAAGAGGTTGTAGTGCCTTCAGGATGAGCATCCACAGATCTGCCTTCATCCTGCTGCACAAACACGTGTGTTCCCATGTGGGAAGGGGACTGACGTCTTCTCCCCCCAAAAAAAACATGTTCCTCCTTGTCACCTGCTCCAGGTTTGGTTCCAGAACCGCCGGGCCAAATGGCGGAAGAGGGAGAAGTGCTGGGGCAGGAGCAGTGTGATGGCTGAGTACGGGCTCTACGGTGCCATGGTGCGTCACTCCATCCCACTGCCCGAGTCCATCCTCAAATCTGCCAAGGATGGCATCATGGAGTCCTGCGCCCCTTGGCTCCTGGGTAAGAGAGCAGCCACCTTCATGGGGAATGATGAGTGGGGAGAGACAAAGCAGGGGATGTGAGGAAGAAATCAGAGTCATGTCAAAAACACAGTTGGAGGGCAACAGAGCAAGGTCCCTGCATCCTGCTGCCCTCAATGCCTTCTGTCCCCTAATGACCCTAGTCAGTTGGGTTTGACTGCTCATCCAAAATTCCTGATGGTCTTTGGATCCTGATGTGCAGAAGTTTGCCCCCATGTTCAGGCTGGTGTTAGCCTTCAATTCCCATGGCTCAAGCATCCATCATGCCCAGCCCTGTAGCAGGGCCTCCAACTCTAGCCCAAGGCAGGAGGTCATCCCAGTCTCACTCCTCTAGCCCTGTGATGGATGCTGTGTGGGGTGGCAGGATCGCCAAATACACTGTCCTTTCCCCAAGCCCCAGAGAGAGCACTCTGCTGTCTCCTCTGGCTCTTGACACCCAGGGAAGCTGCATTTCTGTCTAGTTTCACTTGGTCTTCTGTGCAGACATGGAGGTAGCAGCTACCACACTCTTGCTCTTTGCTTCCCTCTTTCTGAGCTTTCAGGCTGGTTCTGCCCCAAAACTAGTGTCTGATGTCTTCACGATGGGCTGTCCTGTCCTTCAGTCTGTGTGAAACAGAGAGGCAGAGGGGTGGTTGTCTGAGGAGTGGGTTGATGCAGAAATAGGCAATGGGGGAATCTCCCTCCCCAGCCTCAGTGGAGCTCAGGCAACTGTACTGCTGTCTGAGACCCTCATCCCCATGCAGGGACAAATTAGTTTTAGGTTCACAGAGAGAAATGAAGGGGAGAGTAATTCTAGACCTTTGAGGGCAGCCTCGAGTCCACAGATGCCAGGCTGCCCCAGCAGGCAGTTGCCTTGTCTGGGCTGCCCTCGCACCGGGACCGGAGCGAGCGGCTCGCCGCGACTGCTGCGTGAAGCGAGGGTTTCTGCTTTTCCTTAATTCTGGCCTCTCTTTATCTTTGCTGTTTTCAGTTCAAGATGGCTTTCCCATGCCCAGGCGCTTTTCTAAACCCGAATACCAACAATTCTTTTTAGGGATGCACAAAAAGTCTCTGGAGGCAGCGGCTGAGGCGGGAAGGAAGACGGAGGTGGAGCGCCAGGCCCTGCCCAAGCTTGACAAAGGTGACAAGGAAGAGAGGGGTCCGGATCCCAAACCCACCATTTCCCAGGAGGAACTGAGAGAAAACAGCATTGCCGCCCTCAGGGCCAAAGCTCAGGAGCACAGCACCAAAGTCCTGGGGACCATCACCGGGGACAC